GCGGGCGGGGTCAGGCCTCTGCTGCCCCCTGGTGGCCTCGCGGCCCTTTCATTACAAGTGGTGAAGAGCAGCGCCGCAACCAAAGGGTCGTGCGGCCACGCAGCGTCCCCCCCCCCCGCCCCCCCAATCCTGGATTCTGGAGCAAAAACGCTCACCAGCGAATTGTTTCACTTCTCGAGCCTTGGGTTGCTGGGTAGACGGGGGAAAGCAACACCTACGTCACAGCGCCCAGACTTTAAGCAGCACGTGTTGTCGGCGGCTGGTGAGTGGCAGAGCAGGGTCCGAGACTGCCCCGGGGTCCGCGGACCACCAGGCCAGGGGGCACAGTGCCTGGGGCCCAGCATACTTTTAGCGGTTGTGTTAGTTTCTTATTGCTGCTGTGACAATTACCACAAACTTAACACAAATTTATTTATTTATGATTTTGGAGATGAGAAGTCCGCAGAGCTCTCAATGGGCCTTAAGTTCCTAGTGTCGGCAGCATGCGTGCCTGAATTTCTGGGTGCTCTGGGGGGAATCCGTTCCTTAGCCTTACCGATTCTAAAGACTGCCCATTCCTTGGCTGGCAGCCTCTTCCATCTTCAAAGCCAGGAACATTAGGACAAGTCCTCACGCTGCCACCTCTCCGACTGCCTCCTCTGATTCCGTTCCATTTTTAAAGACCCTGTGATGACTTTGGGCTGCCCAGATGATACATGGATAATCTCCCTATTTTTTTTTTAATTAAAAAAAATTTTTTTAACGTGTATTCATTTCTTGAGAGATACAGACAGAGCACGAATGGGGGAGGGGCAGAGAGAGAGGGAGACACAGAATCCGAAGCAGGCTCCGGGTTCTGAGCTGTCAGCACAGAGCCCGACACAGGGCTTGAACTTGAGAACTGCGAGATACCTGAACCGAAGTCTGATGCTTAGCCACCCAGGCGCCCCTCCCTATTTTAAAGTTAGATGATGTGAAACCTTCATTCTGTCTGCAACTCTGATTCTCCTTTGCCATGTACTCTAACATCAACACAGATTCCAGGTATGAAAAGAAAACATGGACATCTTTGGGGGTGGGGCATTTTTCTGCTACCAAGAGAGGCCCATGAAAATGTTTTCTTTTAAAGCTAGAATAAATGAACTTTTAGATCAAAGAAAATGTTTTAATATATGATGTTAATATATTCATCTTTATATCAATGCATTTGTAAAGTATAATTTAAAAAATTTAATGGGGGTGCCTGGGTTGCTCAGTCGGTTAAGGGCCCGACTTCAGCTCAGGTCACAATCTCACGGTCCATGAGTTTGAGCCCCGCGTCGGGCTCTGGGCTGAGGGCTCAGAGCCTGGAGCCTGCTTCCAATTCTGTGTCTCCCTCTCTTTCTGCCGCCCCCCCCCCCCCCTGCCCCGTTCATGCTCTCTCTCTGTCTCAAAAATAAACATTAAAAAAAAAATTAAAAAAAAAATTTAATGGAGCAAGGTCTCTCAAAAGTCATACTGCAGCCCCACCTCCTTGACTTCCTGGTCCACATACGGGCCTGTATCCTTCCCAGGAATTAGGGTCTCTGGGATGCTTCACTAACAGGAGGGGTTCAGTGAAGCAAGGAACCTTGGAGAACTAGCAGTTGGCTGACATGAAAGGAAGCCATTTTGGGTGGGGGTGAGTCTGAAAGGCAGGGTGTATTTAGGTGGAGAAAGCAGGGTGGGAGAGGGGCGCTGGCTCATCCCATTCTCCTGCTTAGACCCTCCTAGATCCTATAACCCCCTGTTAGTGTGGTGACCCCAAGAAAGCTTGAGGTTACTTTTATAACTTAAGACCTTAGACATGTTCCTTAGCTCAGCTGAGCCTGTTTCCTTACCAGAAAAGTGGGGACTACAGCAATATAGCAACCACACGATCTGATGGGGTCATTGTGAGTTGTGAAACCCTGAATTGGTGTTTCTCATAGTGTGTCCACACATAGTGTGTCCAGACCACTGACATCAGAATGACCATGGGGGGGAAGTTTGAGAACCATGGCACAGGTGAAGTGGTGCATGGGACAGGACCTCCTGCACTGTGAAGTGGGGTGCCTGTGAAAGCTGGTTTACCTGCAATCCTCTTCAGCTGGGGCCCATGTTAGACTCTTTGGAGCACTAATTCTCTTCAAGGTCAGCGGCTTAGAGATGACAGCAAAGTGAGGTAGTGCCCCTTGCACTATGGAGCTGGCCCCATAGGGGCACGAGACCAAGGCATTGCCTGTGAGATTACCTGTGCCCTGTGGCTTCTGTCAACCTCTCCCTGTCTGCATTCCATCATGCCTCAGCTTCTGGCTCTTGGCTTTCAATCTCTTGAAAGCAATCTTTCAATGTCACCCACCCCACCTAGCCACTGAGTTTGAGCTCTGCTTCTCTTACAAGGCTGCACCCCTGGCTTAGGTGAGCAGACCACACAGATCTCCCGAAGTGTTCAGCCTGGGTGTTCCTCCCACCTCTGCCCCCTGTGACTGAACCCTCTCTTGGTCCCCAAATGACCATTATTCTGGAAACTCACCCTAAACCCTCTACTCCCCTGCTATAGGACCTCATGTGTCTACAGGTAGTTATACCTACCCCCTCCTCCTATCTTCCTGCCCTGTCCCTTCACACATTGCCAGACTCATCGTAGAGATGGGGTGACATTGCTCTTGGGTTTTCAAACCATTGGTGATGCTGTGACCTTGGAAAGAAGTTACAAACCCTTACCCCTGACTGCCTAGGGACCCCTACTTGGCTTCCTATTTCCAGCAGTGCTGCTTTCTCAAAGGGGGCTCTCAGAGCTCCCTTGGTTGCTGGTATCTTCAGGTCTTTGAGGGCCTGACTGACGATGGAGGGTAGAGGGGGAGTGGGTTCACATCTGCAAGTCTGTGGTGCCTTCTCCTGTCTAGCAGCCCTGGAAGGGATGCCACACTCAACTGAGCAAATGCTCATGGTGTACCTCATGACAATATGTACTGGTCTCAAAGTGACAGGAATGGGTGTTGTCAAGGGCAATGGTCTGTGTCTAACCAATTCAGCCAGACAACCAGGCCCTGCTTCTGTGAGCCATGCACAAAGGCCTGGTCTACAGGAGTTCTGCCCCCTGCAGCCCCAGAGCAGGTCAGCCTGAAGCCACTGAAGCAGGTCAGCCACCTCCCTGACCTCAAGGGCAGGAGGTGCTGTCTCAAGGAGCACATTAGGCTGTTCTGGACGGAGTGGGCCTCATCTCTTCCTGTCCTCCTCGCTCCTGCAGCCACCTTGGAAGTAGCAGGAGGGTTGGATGCTGTTGGTTGGTATGAGATGAAGAGACCCAGAAGGCAGACTCCAGTTTCGAATGCCAAGGAGATTCATACACAAGGGACAATTGCAGAGAAAAATGAATGAACCTTTTATGATTAGCCCTGTTTGGGGCTGAAACCTTAGTGCAGAATTCTAGTAAGGAAGGAACAGGTGGTTTGGGCTTAAAGCCGAAGGTACAGTTTCTGTCCCCCTAAGTCCCTCTGGCCATTTACCTGGGCTGCTTGTGTGTGTGTGTGTGTGGGGGGGGGGGGGCTCCTAGAGCAGAAGGGAGTTGGGTCACCTTCCCACGGAGAAGGCCCTGGGTCCACTCACTATTGACAAGGTGGCAGAGCAGTCAGAGCCCTGTGCCAGGGACACTATCCACTAGCAGATGTGGCCTTGTGAGTGCCCCAGAATCTGACCACAGCAAGAGGGGAGGGAGGAGGAACACCAGCATTCTGGAAGCACCTCTTTCCCTGTGACACTATCCCAGCAGCCATACTACACCTTCCTGGGAGCCTGCCTCCAGGGGCAGCCTTCCAGATGATGATGTGTCACCATGTCACTGCCTATTCTCTTTGAACTTCTTGAGTGGTTTCCCAGTGTTCCAGGGACACGAGGAGTGGCTCTTTGGGATCTCCCCAAAGAGGGAGGCTGGAGGGTGCAGCATTTGCTTGGAATGCTGGGTGAAGTCACAGGTGTATTCACGGAAGCTCTGCTCAGAGCCTTGTTATATTCTAGTGTGAACTGTGAATCTAGTACCCAGATAGACAATGTGCAAAATAGTTCTGACCCGCCCTTCACGAAGGTGTTCCACCACACAGCTTGGAAAGCTATTTTTCCGAGCTCCCATGTTGTGGAGCATGGGCAGGAGTGGCATATTCAACATGTGGTTGCCTAATGTGAGTGCTCCTCTGTGGGGACTGGGGTGGTGGTGATGGGGCACAGGAAGGACATCAGGCGGAGGGCAGCCCACAGGGCTGTTTGGTTTATGGATTATTTTCTAAATCACGCAGATGGGGGCGCCTAGGTGGCTCAGTCGGTTGAGTGTCCGACTTTGGCTCAGGTCATGATCTTGCTGTCTGTGAGTTTGAACCCCCGCATCGGGCTCTGTGCTGACAGCTCAGAGCCTGGAGCCTGCTTTGGATTCTGTGTCTCCCTCTCTCTCTGCCCCTCCCCCGCTCATGCTCTGTCTCTCTGTCAAAAATAAATAAACATTAAATCACGCAGATGGCTTCAGTGGGGCTCCCTGCAGTTCACCCTGGGAAGTGACTGGCCTGCCTCTGTTTGAGACAGTAAAGGCTTGAGAACAGGAATTGGAAGAGGCCCTGGGAGGCTGCCAGGGTTGCATACGCCACACACAGACCTGCTCAGAGCCACCGTGTGACCCCAAAAAATGGGCTGCAGGGAAGGCCAAGGTCCAGTGAGGACTTCTTTCAGCCCTGTCTCCTCCACCAGGCCTTCCTCCTATGACACCTGCCTGGGATAACAGGCAGTTGGTGCCTTCCTTTCTTCCTTGCAGACATCAGGGACACTACCTACTTGTGCTACCTTGCTGTCTGTTACACATACTGAATTATGACGTGAGCCTCAGACTGAGCTTGATCCCCCTTTCCACACTTGGTGGCCTCCCTACAGGCACCACCGTGGTGTGTGCAGAAGGGAGAGGAGGGGCGGGGAGACCAGGAAGTGCAGTGAGGACGCCATAACCCTCTGATACCAGGGAAAGGTCCTGAGCTGCTTGCTCTGGAGAAGGCAAAATACGTTTTAATGATTTCTGTGGCCCCAAGGGCAACTGTGTGAGCCTGGCAAGGGATGGCGGGGCTGTCATACAAAGTAGGCAGCCAGGGCTGACATCTTGTCCTTTGGCCGCCTGGCACTGGGCTTCACTGTGGGCCGACGGCCCCGGGCCCGCCCCCGGCCCTGCCTCCTTCCTGGCCCGCCACGGTGCATGGGGTGGCAGGAGGCCGCATGCTTCAGCTCCACTAGCTCTTGGAAGATGGGGTCGCAGAAGACGCAGCCCGTGTGCTGTGTCTCATCACCTGGGAGCGGGGACTTGGCCTTGTTGAAGTCCACAGCCAGCAGGGCAGCCTCACAGGTGCTGCAGGTGTCGGCGGACACCCGCACGCGGTAGGCGTTCTCGAAGCAGTGCGCCACCACATTGCACTTGTTGCAGGCCACCTTCCACTTGGGGCCTGAGGTGGGGTCCAGCACCAGCACGCCGCTCTCGCATTCCACGCACTGGCCGATGCCCAGCATGCTAAGCGAGTGCTGGCAGGTGGGGTGTGTGCACTCATTGCAGCCCATGCCTGGTGGGGAGGGGGCAGCCCATGATGCACACCAACCCCCACCCTGTGCTGTGTCCCCCCCCACCCCAACCCCCCCTGCTGCCACCTCCCAGAGGGTCTTCCCCTAGGGCCTCATGGTCCAGATCTGTCGTCCCAGCAAAAAGTGTTCCTTGATCACCCTGGGTCTGGATTCCCCCACTGCCCTTGCCCCTGCTTCTCTGCTTATCTAAAACCTCCTCAACCTGTGAGTGTCACTCCTCCTCCCCCCATCATTTCCAGAAGGCCTTCCTGGTGGCCTCCGGCCAGGTCCATTCCCCCTCTTCACTTTGCTTCCACAGCCAATTCCCATCAGTTCCATGTGGCTCCTGTGCTGCTGGGTCACACGGAGCCACTGGCTGCCCTGAAAGATGCTGGAGGGCAGGGAAGGGCCTCAGTAACCCTAGTAGCCCAAATGCAGGCTGTCCCTGCCTCACAGGTGAGGCTTGAGTCAGGAAGGGTGAATTGAGACCCCTGAGGGTTCCCTAGACCCCTTGATGAACGTGGGTAGATGCCTCTTGCTGTACCTCATTCCTGTCTGTAGCATGGGGTGAACACGCTGGGCCCTGTACCTCCTCTAGACTCTTGGCTCAGTGCTGTTGGTGCCTCCCACTACCCACCCCTACCCATGCACATGTGTCTCCTTTCCCCAGTAATGACTGTGAGGATAGAGAACGGAGGTAGACGCTGACTGAGGGTGCACCCCTTGCCAGGTGGGGCCCCCCAACCTGCTGCATCACTCAACTCAACCTAGCCCAGGAGAGGGCACGGCATGCCTACTGCCCAGATCCCGAGTGAGTGGATTACAGTTGCCCTCTCAATTATGACCGGGACAGAGAGTGGCAGACTGGCTGGCTCCGCCTCAGCAGTGCCCAAGTACACCTCAGGTCTCCTGTACCTGAGCTGGTGAGTCCAGCCATAGCGTGGGGGCAGGGCAGGGGCTGGACAGGCACCACAGACACCCAGGGGGGACGGGGCAGCCTGTCTTGGGAGGGAGCGATTGAGGCCAAGAGACGGGGCACTCACCTTTCTTCATGTCTCGGAAGGGCGGGTGATTGGCGCAATAGGGGCACAGTGGGTAGCTCTTGCCCCTAGAGCCTGAGGACCACAGGACCAGCTCGAAGTCATCCAGTGGGCACCGGAGCTCCTTGTAGAGCTTGATGGTGCCATTCTGGGGGAGGGTGTAGGTCTCATCGCAGTGGGAGCAGTGCAGGCGGCTGGGCTTGGCCTGCAGAAACACCAGGGAAGATGCTCAGGGTCACTGAGGCCACCCTGCTCTCTGGCCTGCCCTCACTCTCCTAATACAGAAGTAACAGGTGACATGTAGTATATAATGTATATAACATGATACATAAGACACAATATGCAGCACTGTAATGTGTATGTAGTACATAATATATGATACACACAGAAAATCTAACGTGTATACAAAATACATAATGTGTTACGTATGTCACACACGTAGAATACATTATGTTTACATATTACTTATGTATTATGTATGCATAACACATAATACATATGTATACTTATGTACACAACAGAAACATACGTAGTAATATATGTGCAATATGTAATACATAATATGTAACCCATAACACACAATGCATAATGTGTAACACACGGAATACGCATATAATGTGTAACTTATAACATGTAACACAATACATAATGCATAATGTGTAGCATGTTGCCAGGCAAGGACCTCTCAGGCAAGGACCCATAGCCATGAGTCTCAGGACACCTGCTCCAGGCATGGAGAAAGGTAGTTCTAGAACCCCTGCATGTGTATTAATGCCCAGGATAGCAAATAATTTGTTAGGAAAAAATGGACAATGTGTTTAAGAGCCCCCACAGCTCACATGTTCCTGGGGTCAAGGGGAAACTGGGTGTCTGTTGGCAAGGCTGCAGTAGGCCTCTCATTCTTGTGTGGCAGCCAGAACAATGATTTCTTTATGACTAAGGATAAGGCAGAGGTCTACAGAGGTGACAGGACTTGCCCAGGTCTGTACACAAGGGTGCTGTAGGCCAGATGGGGTGGTCACAGCCCTTCACCCTCATTTACCTGAATGTACTTCATGAACCGGTGGCACTTCCCACAGCGGGAGAGGGGCTTGCCCGTGGCCGCCAGGGGTGAAAAAGACACCTCCATCAGTTCGTCCATGCCTGAAAGCAAGCAGCGCAGGGAAGAGTCACATCCTCCTAGCCTCCGGCAGCCTGCCTCAGACACGTGCACGGAGGGGGAGGCCACAGCAAGCATCTGAGTAAATGCGTCTCTATCCCTGAGGGTGCTAGGGTAACAGGAACAGCAGGGCTGCGGCCTCATGTCTCACATGAGCTGGGTGCCTCGTGTGTGGTGTTAAGATGTGTGCTCTTGGGTCAACTGAGTGACTCACTCGGTTAAGTGTCCAGCTCTTGGTTTCGGCTCAGGTCATGATCTCAATAGTTTGTGGTTTTGAGCCCTGCGTCGGGCTCTGCGCTGACAACGTGGAACCAGCTTAGGATTCTTTCTCCCTGTCTCTCTGCCCCTCCCCTGCTCGTGCTTTCTCTCTCAAAAATAACTTATTAAAAAATATCTTATTAAAACACAACTTATTAAAAAATACTATTAAAAAAAAAAGCCCGCTCTTTAACCCCAACGATGGTCCAGCAATGAGATGTTATTGCCCTGTCCTCCCAAAGGAGCCCCGGAGCCCGGAGCCCAAATCTGGACCCTGGTCCTACACGGCTGGGGCAGCCCTGGCCCAGGGGCCTCTGGCACAGGGGTAGGGAAGAGGTGGGCTCACCGGCGATGGAGTCCACGAAGTAGTGGAACTTCCTCTTGAAGACATCCAGGGTGTGGCCCAGGACTTGGCGGTAGTCAGCTTTGCCCTGGGCGATCAGGTTCAGCTGCTTCTCGACTGCACTGCGGATGGTGGGGAGCACCAGCTCTGCATCTGCAAGTAGGGGAGTGCTGCTGTGAGCACTTGCACTGGGGAGCTGTGGCTGCCCCCACCAGCTCAGGCTGCAGTCTTGTGGTCCTACGCCTTTCCTGATCTCCTACCCGGAAAATCCAGTGTCGAGTGGCCAGGGGCATCCTGTCTCCAAGACTGTGTCACAGTTCCTGGAAGTCCTCAGGCCAGGTCTGTGCCCTGCCATCTCCCCTAAGACCCTTGGAACCTCTCTGGGACAGAGCAAAGAGCTCTGCAAGGAGGACCCAGACCCCATCCGAAGCTGGTCTGTGGGGAAAAGCCCCTCGAGCCTCCTCTCTTGGATCCTTTGCACTTGTCCATTCATCCATCCACCACACAGAGACCCTGCTGGAGCACGTCCGGGGCCGGGCGGGGGGGTGGGGGGTGACAATGTAGCACTGTTCCAGTGGGAGTTGACCTGCCACAGGGCCATGGCCTGTCAGAGGCTAGGGGCTGATGAATGCAGAGCTGCAGCCCAGGCCAAAGTCAGGGAGCAACAGCCAGCCAGACTCATCAATCTCTTTTCTTTTTTAAAAGTTTTTTGAATGTTTATTCATTTTTGAGAGAGAGAGAGAGAGAGAGAGAGAGAGAGAGAGAGAGAGTGTATAAGCACGGTAGGGGCAGAGAGAAGAAGCAGGCTCCAGGCTCTGAGCTGTCAGCATAGAGTCCGACATGGGAACCGTGAGATCATGACCTGAGCTGAAGTCTGACACTCAACCGGCTGAGCCACCCAGGTGCCCCACAGACTCACCAATCTTGTAGTAGCCATGCACCAGGACGATGCCAAGGTTGGTGGGTTTGAGTCGGCGCCCGCTCTCCACAGTGACGTAGTTGCGCTGGCAGATGTTGTTGATGTGCACGGGGATGCTGGCGTCTGTCCCTGAAACACATAGCAACACATACCAAGTGTTCCATAGCAGGCTCCCCATCAGACCGTAGGCTCCACCTTTGCTCCCACTCACCATGGGGACCCTGGTTCTCAGCCCCCTCACCTCTGTTTTTGGCTAGCACTGTGCTGGACACCACACCATGTGTTTTGAGAATGGTCTTGTGAATCCAAAAATGGCCCTCCCAGCGCCGGGCGCTTAATTTCCCTCTACAAACAACAGAGGCTCATGGAGGTTAAGGAACTCTGCCAAGGTCATGGGAGCTCAGTCTGCCTGCCCCTCACATTTGGTAAATGCGACCTCCTTGACCTCTCCCTGCCTCAATTCTGAGACATCTACCCCTTCTAGAAACAGGGCTCAAGACCCCTGAACACGGAGGAACTCCCATGCTCGCTGCCAAATCGTCCCCTCTGAAACCTGCTTAGAACTGCCCACTTTCCAGCTCCCAGGTCCCTTGTGATTAGTTTCCAGGATGGCACCTCCCCTAGAGACTTCAGGGTCACCTGGCGCTGCCAGATGCTGCCTTTACTGCTCCCCCATGCTGAGGAGCCTCCTCAGATGGTGCTTAGAGGCTATGGAGGCCATTGAGGTACCGCACTGGAAGGACAATGCTGGGATTAGGATCTGAGCCCCAGCACGCTCCCCGCTGTGCCCACTGCATTCTTGCCACTGCCGGAGCAGCAGCCCTTGCCAGTTCCTTTTCACACAGCCCTGGGGGCTCCCGGTTAACAGGGCTGCCCAGGGCCGCTGTCTTGTTCAGAAGGTCACAGGAGCCCTTTTCACGGGCTCATTTTGGTTATGGGATCTGGGCTGCTGTCCAGTATGTGGCTGCAGGGAGCCATGGATGTCTTGTCAATGGGGAAGGACAGAGGATGCTGGGGGAGCAGCACCCACACACCACTGTCACCAAACCCAGGTGAGACGTTCCCTGACAGTCACCTGTCACAACTGTTAGTGACAGAACAAGACTCAGGCACAGCACCCTGGATTGTTCTGGCCCTCCAGAGCTGGGTCAGCTGGTGCAGCACATCAAACAACAGGCAGTTCCCATTAGAGTGAACATTGCCTGGGGAGCTGGCCACACCCTGGGCTGCAGTTACTAGGTGCTGGGCACGGAAGAGTCACTGAGCAGGTCTGGACCTGCTCCTGGGATGGAAACCCTCAGGCCCGGGGCCTGGGTGGGCAGGAGGGTGGGTGCACCCACCAATGCCGTGCTTCTCCATGAGTGTGATGAGCTCGGCCTCTGTCAGGTAGTCGGGTGGGTTCGTCTGCTTCTCCAGCATCTTTATTTCACTCACAGCAAAAGTGTCGCCCCTCTGGCAGGTGGGCAGGCTCTCCTCCAGAGGCACACTCTGCCAGGGCATGATCTCCGTGAAGCCTGGAGGGAGAGGGTGCTGCCACTTAGGGTCCCGTCCCAGGCAGCCCAGGCCCAAGACCCTGGGCCTCCCTCCCCAGGTTCAATGGAGAATGTTCCGTCTGTCTGTGGAGGTGAGGGAGGAGCCAGTCTGGCCCTGCAGTTTTACCTGGAGAGATGACGGTCTTCCCTGTGCAGGTGAAGTGCTCAGGACCAATACGGAAGGAAATGGTGCTCTGAAGGTACTTGCAGTCGTAGCTAACTGTGGCAATGAAATGTCTGGTGATGTACTCATAGAGCCGCCACGCCTCACTGCCTGCAGCAGGCAAGGAAGTTGGTTACTGTCCAGAAGCTCTGGCTCTAAAGACCCCCCAACACTCTCATTCAGACAGCAGGGCCCTGGCCATCAGCACAGAATGGCAGGGCTGGCCTGCACTGAAGCTGGAGAGAGGAGTAGGAAGTGCGCAGGAAGGGAAAGTGAGTATCCTGTGCTGTGGTGGTTCCTACACAGTTACAGCTCCGACCTCTGCTTCCAGGTGGGACTGCTCTTCAGGGCCTGGTATGTTCTTAGTTGGTGACTGCAAGCTTGGGTGGTGCACAGTGGCTCCTGTCTCTACCTGCACGGTTCTCCCTTTCCCTGCCTCCTCCCAGTACACAGGCCCCCACACTGCCTTGGTCGGGTGGGAAGCAGGAGGCACACCCAGTGGTTGAGCCCCAGCACTCCCTGTCTTGGTCCCATCCTGTCCCCTCCTTGCCCATCTGCCTCACCCTCCTGCCTCCTACGAGCAGCCACCTGCACCTGCACTCAGGCATACCACCCCACACCTGCTGCCACCACTTCTCTTCTGTCTTGCCCCATGGTAACAGAACACAACCTTCAGGTGACCCTCTGTGCCACAGCTGGGGGCAGGTGGGGGAGGGAGCCCCCACACTGCCAACGGGGCCTGACACTGTCCTAAGGTGCCACATGACTATAGCTTCCCACCCAGAAACTTGGTGTGTGAGTGTTGGGGGGAGTGACTGATACCTAATTCAGCCTCTGTGGCAGACCTCATGGGGGTAATGGGGGGATGGTCACCAGCATCATGGCCTTTCCGTGGGTGGTTGATACCTTCTGTTAACAACCGCTTCACCTGAGGGAGAAAAAACAAAGCAGTGAGTCTGGGCATAGCTAACTTCCCACAGGGAGGAGTCAGCACTAGTTCTGGGTTTGGCCAAAGTGCCTGGGAACAAGGGTGTGCGGTGGCTCTGCTCACCGTGTCGGCCCAGTAGGGGTGGTTGGCCTGCTGCCGCAGAGGGCCCTTCAGGTCAAAGTTCTCAGGGTAGTGGGTGGTCTCAGTCCGCGGGTAGCTGATGTAGCCTTGCGTGTAGAGCCGCTCGGCAGTCTGCATGGCATGTTGTGGCCCCATGCCTGTGAGGGATGGGAGGCTCAGTGGGCCAGAATGTTGGGGATGGCCAGGTCCCTGCTAATGGGCCTGGGCACTCAGCCTCCCCATCAAAGGCGGCCAGGGCCTCCTGGCAGGTGGAGGTGGTTCTGAGTGGGCACAGCTAGAGCACAGAGCTGCTGGCCAGGCCACCGTGCCCATACAGCTTTACCTGAGGCCGAGGTCCTGAACCTGTAAAGGTGGGCCCAGGACAGGGATGCTCCACAGTGTCACCCTCATAACACTAGTGGCTATGCTGATTAAATGTGGCCTGCAAAGTGCTGCTCTCTCACATTCTGGCCATGGAGTGCAACTGTGCCTCAGCATCTGCTAATGTCCCACTATGACTGCAGAATTAGCACACACCCCCTGTTCTGAGCTCCGTGGGTGTTTCTGTCCTCGTGGGACTCCAGGACTACTGAGGGAGGGCAGCAGAGGCTGCCACTCAGCTATTAGCCACTCAATGTCATCACTGCCCTCCGAGGATCCCTGAAGATGCTGTTCTGAGGACACTGGCCAAGGTTTCCCCAGGCTGCAGAGGCACCAGTGCCTTGAGGCCAACAGCTGTCAGAGACAGCCAACTTTCCAGTCAAAACCCCTTCTTCCTCCTGGGGCAACAAGGCTCAGAGACATTACATCAACACTGGTCACACTGGCCCCTGCAGGACATTAGCCTGGGGCATTAACCTCCCACCCCTGGCCTCTCTCCCTACACCAGGAAAGCTTCTTTGGGGTGCTAAAGTCAGGACATCTCTCTTGGGTAGTGGCAGTCATTACCACTGTTGCTGTTACAATACACCATTACAATAATTTAATCCTTTTAGAAAAATCAGCCCTGAGAGATGGTCACAATGGCTGCTGTTTTCTTGTGAGAAAACCAAGGCTCCAGGACAAGAAAGAAAGTAGACAAGCTGACACTGGACCAGAGTTTGGGTCCAGGGCTGGAATTCCATCGTCTAATGCCTCTGAGGGGACTCCACTGTGCCAGTGATACACAGGCCTGCCCTATAGGTGGTCTCTGACCATGGCCTGCCATGTGTTTGGCCCTGGCAGCAGCTGCATGGATGTTCAATAATATGGTCTATTTTCCCCACATAAGTCCAAAGGGGCTGTTGCATATTAACCGATAATCTTCCAAAATGGAATCCTCTCTCGTGTTTGTCAGTTTGTTATTACTTATTTCCACTCTGGAAATGAAATCCGCATGAGGCATAGATTCCCACTAAGCCTCGAATGACACTGCAGGTGAGCTGTGGCTTGACATAGGTGAGCATGAGGCACTCAGCACAGGTGCACACAATGGGGGTGTGGGGGGGGGGGGGGGGGGAGGGGGCCACTCAGCACAAGTGCGCATGAAGGGAGCGTGAGAGTCAGCATCACCCTGGAAGCCCAGGCATTGCACCAGGGCTGAATGGCTCACCGCATGCCTGCTCCAAGCCCTTCGGGGGCTTTAGAGGAATGCCCCTACATACCCAGAGAAGAGCTAGCTACTCGCAGCATCTCCACAGTGTTCAGGGCAAGGGGCCTCTGCTTGGCCTTCTCTTTCCGGCTTGTGGCCTCCACCTAGAAGACAGAACAGATTCCGGGATTTGGGGTAGTGGGGAAAAGAGGCCATAATAGAGAATCAGGAGGTATGGGCAAAGGGTCTGGTTTCGTTCATTTGGTCTCCCTGCTTCTCAATTTCACTTATCACAGTGGTCTCACGACTTGAATATTTATTTAGGCCAAGGAAGGGAAAAAGAAAGAAAATTCTTTCCAAGAGAACTTTCTAGGGAAAGAGAAAGCTTGGAGAAACAGGGAAGAGCCAAGAGAAAGGGCTGCAAATTCAAACTCCTACGGGAGCCAGTGGCAGCCAGGCCATGGGGATGGCAGGTGAGGGCTGGAGCAGACCACGGAGTGCAGGCCTGTCTCAGGGGCAGTCAGCTGCCCTCACTGCACCTGAGTGCTTCCACCAGGGCCTACCAGTATTGCTACATCTTCCAGTTCATCAGCAAAAGCTGCAAATCAGGACTTTCATGCGAAATCTCATGACTTTCAAATGTTGGTGACCATTTGAAACGTTTATAAACGTGAGGCAGTTTAGATAAAATACTAGGCAGCTTCCAACTCTGGGCAGAACAGTTGTTAGAAAAGAGGACTCTGTCTTGCTTGGGACAAAAACAATCCAAACTCAACTCCAATGCCTCGTCTCTCCCAATCCCATGGAGACATGGCCAAGGCAGTGCCTTCTGAATTCCAGACAGACCAATGTGGGGGGTTAATTTGGGACAAAATGGGTACATGCTTCAGTGGAGGCTTGGGATCACTAGGGTCGAGATCTGGAGATGATGGCAGTGAGTCTCTTGAGGAACATGGTCAAGGATAAAAGCATGAGGCAGCTTTGGAGGAAGTTTTAGAAGCCTGAGTCAACTGCATGGGTGAGCAGAGAGCACCCAAGGAAGGCTGGAAAAGGGCAAGAGAAGGTGATTGAAGGAGGCCAGGCTGTGCCTCCATGACTCTGGTAGCTGTTACTGCTGTGGACCTCTGTAATGGTGGCAGAACTACCTCCATCCCAGGTAGGCAGCCCCTTGCCAGGTGGTGTCACCCTTTTCCTAAAGGTCAAGCACATGTCCCTCAAATTCATAAAAACCCTGAGTAGGAAACACAGCACCATAAAGGCCATGAAAGCTGACTGAGGTTGGGATCTCATGTTAGCTGTGTGACCTTGGGCAGGTTCACTGATGTGCACACAGGTCCCTCCAGAGTTGTTAGCATTTAGAGATCACAGAAAGGGGACATCTGTGTGAAATGGAATCCTGACAAAAGGGGATAATGCCTGTGGGGCCTGGCAGGTCATGGGCATGGGGCGGTGCCCGGAACAGGGTAGGTATGTGGCACACTGGTTACTGCAAGCAGTTCTGTAACCTTTCTTCTTTCCAAAAGATGTCTGTGTTTCAAAGAGGGACAGAAAGATGGGACCCTAGGCCACAAGCTACTCTTCTGGCCAGAGGCTTCCAAGGTCTACTCCCAGCCAGAGCGAACATGACAGATGTGGGTGGGGCAGGCCCACCTGGGCTTCCTTCTCCAGCTTTGTCATGTTTAAAAACATCTGTGCGATTTCCCGGTCAAACACTCGCACTCGGTCCCAGTCCAAAAGAAGAGATCTGTCTTTATCGGCATTAACCTGGAGGAAAAAGTATAAAAGGACAAAACAAGAGAGAAAAAATCCAGGTAAGCCCACTGCCAGGAGTGAAAATCAAGAGAGATGAAGCTGGTCCTTGCCTGGGAGCAAAATGATCCCAGCCCTAAGGTCTCACAGTCATACCTGTACAGGTGTGCAGGTGTACAGATATGTAGGCTGAGACCCAGCCCCATCCCAAGGGAAGACTGCTCTGACTCCAGGCTTCTGCCCCGAGACCAGGCAGGTGGGAGGGGAGCCGAAAGTCAAGGCTGTGTCCTTAAGGAGTGTTAGAAACTCTGCCTCGAATGCCATCCCTGCCCACTAGGTGCAGTTGGTCCATGGGCCCCTAGTCCTACATCAACCAGACCAGCTCTGTATTATGTTTTAAACCTTATAAGAAGCTCACATGGAGAATTTTATTTGGAGAAAGGGTTCTAAGACTTTAAAAAATTTGAAAGTCAGTGGCCTATAGCCCTCAGTCCAGTCCTTGGACCTGACCATCACAGCTGATGGCCCTAGGGGTGACCCTGCCCCACACTGCCAAAGTGGAGTTCATTCCTGCTTACCCAAATTCAATGCATCCAGGCCTAACCTTATCCTGCCTCTCTATGAAGGCTGGGGTCTCTTCCCTGGACACCCCACAGACCACTCTCTGGCCTCTCTCCTCTGTGCCCTTGGCCTCAGGCCCTTGCATGGCTATGATGATGATGGAAAACTCTCAGAGTCCACAGCCCAAACCTGGAAAGACCCAGTGTGCATAGGGAAAGGAAATCAAACCTTGGCCTGTAGCACCCAGTAGGTCTCTGGTTTGAAGGACTGGATTTTATCGTGTCTCTCCACACAGAAGCCCAGGGTAGGGGTTTGACATGGTCCAAAGGAGATAAGGGAGCTGTCTAGATTGCCATATTTTCCCTGGAAGTATTTAGTCTGAAACCTATAAGGAGGAGGGGGCAGAGAAAGATATTACGGTTATGTATTCACTCCAGACACCATTGTTAACCACCCATGTGAATCCAGCATGGGGCTACTAGTGAGTGCAGGGAGGGGACCAAGGTGGCTTCCCTGCTCAGAAGACAGGGGACAGGGTGAGGTCATGCTCAGCATGGGGGCTGGGAAGGGTGTGTGCAGGCAGAGAGGAATCATGTGTGTGCACACGTGACACAAAACGCAAGAGAGAAGAGCAGAGGTTCCACCTATCCCAGGTCTGGGAAGCCCTTCTACTATATTCTATCCCCTCCACCCTCTCCTGAAGACCCACACAGTGTAGACAAACACTCTGCTTATCAAGTAGTGGCCTGTGTGGTCTCATCAGCTAGACAGTTCTTCAGGGGTTTTAGGATGTGGATGTTGGCCTAGTGCTAACCAGGTCCTGGGGTGGCAAACAGGGACCAGAAAGACAGGGGCTCTGGCTAAAGGGAGGGCAGCCAGCACCTGGTGAACGCGCAGCCGATGCGCAGGTCCAGCTCCTGCCGGGCATCCACCGACAGCGCCTCGTTATGGTCGGGCTCGCCCAGGCGGGCCATGGCGGCGCAGATGTCCGTGTCCGTGATGGAGCTGAATCTGGCCCGGAACACCGTCTTTTCGCCACCGTGGGTTGGATTCATGATGGGCAGCACGGCATCCAGTACCTGGGAGAGGCAGCCCAGCTGTAACCCACCACTGAGGTCTTTACCTCCTGCTCCACATTTTGCCTGTGAGGCCCGGGGCTGACCCTCAATGTGTGTGACTCCTGCCAGACCCTCCTCTGTCTCCTTCCCTGTACAGAAGTCTCAGTCTCTCCACAGAACTCCTGCTACATGGCTGCTCTTCCACCCACTGACAAATCTGTTCAAACATCCCCCTTTTTACTACCACCCTTTCTCTCATCCTCTGCTCTCATCCCCGCCCAACCAGCAAATGCTATTGCCATGGGTGCAAGGGAGCTCAGTCACCAAGTCCATCCCACTTGACCCACTTCCCTTCTTTCTAGAGGGCAGAGTGCCAGGAGGGGTAGGTGGAACTTTTGAGAGACTGGAGAAAAGCCAGGGAAGGAAAACAGAGATGAGGTGGAAAAGGCAAATGACAGGAGGGGTAAGGGCGCAGGGGACCCCCATGGTATGGGGCTTAAGAGTGGCAGGGTGGGGGCGGTGGCCCTCTTAGGGCTAAAGCACAGCGGGGGCTTGGAGCCAGACTCACTAAGAAGGCTGTGCTGTGGGAGGGGAGTCACACTGGAGCCTGGCCATGCAGCTTCTTTACAGGGAAGAGGTGCCTTTGTTTCTGAGGGGAGAGAGCCTGGTGAGCTTCCACTCCGCGATGCAAAGGCCCCCCAGGGGATGAGCAGCCCTGCAGGGGAGGGGCCAGGAGAGGAGTGCCTGGGAAGGGACATAGCGTGTTTCCTGAGGGTGCTGCGCTGGAACTTGGGGTGCCCTGAGCACCCTCTGCCATGCGGGAAGCATTTCCTGAGCCCCAGGGTGTGCCAGGCACCAGGTGAGAGCTGGGGACACAGAGGCAGGAGGGTGAGCCTCACTAGGGGACACCTCCAGCCAGGACCAGCGTGGGGGCACCACAGCCATAGATGAGGCAGGCACCTGCTTCCCTGCAGGGAGGGTGGAGACAGGAGGTGGGAGGGTATCTTGGGTGGGGAGAGGACAGTGAAGGCTGGAGGTGAGAAAAGGAGTGAGGAATGTTGCTGAGTGTCAACCAGCCTTGGCCAAAGGTCCCTGAAAGGTGCCCAGTGGCCAGGATGCTGGAAACCAACCCTCTCCTTGAGGCAGCTTGATTGGGAAACTCCCATCCACCCAGAAAATTCTGCCCTTTCTGTTTGCTCTCACAGTGAGCCCCAGCAGAGGAAGTAACACTCCTTCACCCTTGGTAGAGTCCCTGCATTTGAAAGTGTCTATGGAATTTTCAAAATAGAGGAGGAAAAAAGGCTATTTCTAAGGCAACATGGCTGATTCCCCACTGCAGCCCCAGAACGGGATGACTGCAAGTGAGGTCGGTGGGAAGGTTGGCAGTGAGGACCTCAGTGGGCACCCCTCTTACCTCAAAGCAGATGTTCTCCCCTTCCTTGTCACAGTCCAGCCACAGCACGATGTAGTCGCAGCCTTTGCCTTCCACCTGCCACATAGCACACAGCGACTGGCACCTCCACAGCCCAGCCCTTCAATGCCCACCCATGGTGCTCCCGCCTGGCCCCTGAGCCCCAAGTAGGAGGGCCAGTGCCGAGTGGGACCCAGGCTGAGCAGAGGAGCTGGCTGACTTAGGCTGCCTTAGCCACTTATAGAACTTAGCTTAGAACTTAGTTTTTTGGGCACAAAAAGTCATTAATGCAATGCTGCACAGAAAAAGGGCTGCAATAAGACTAAATGTTAATAGTGGTTGTCTTAGTGGGATCATAAATGATTTATTCTTCCTTCTACTTTTTAATATTTTCCATGTGTATGCATTTGTTTTAAAATTAGAAAAACCACCACCAGTGCCAAACAATCTAAAAAACAGAATTTCTGCTCCCCAGGGCTGAATGACAGGGCTGTCCAGGAGGGCTAGCAGGGGGCGCTCTCAGAAAGGGTTGCAAGGCCAGCCCAGGCATCCAGCAAAGGCCGCCAGGTTCAAAAAAGGGGGAAGGATTCAGGAGGCCTCCTGCAGTGCAGGGGTGGCCCCCCCCCCCCCCCCCGGGTGCCTGTGCTCTTGCACGCCCCACACACCTGCAGGAACTTCACCATGTTCAGCTTGGGGTTAGCTTCCTTCTTCTCTGTTGGGGCTTGGCTGAACAGCTCTGCAGGGTCCACCTTGTCCCACTTGTTGTACTTTCCTACAAACCACAGCCACAGTGACATCTGAATCACACTTCCTGGCTCACAGGGCTTGACCTCTCCAATCGTCATAACCTCAGGAGGATGGTGGTGGTCTCGCCTCAAAAACGGGGAAAAGGAGGCTTGGAGAACACTTTACCCAGGGCAATCCCACAATTGGAGGCAGCGCTGGGCCTTTGTTCCCCTAGGCTGCTGAGGTGACACCACACCTTGGCCACCCACAGGAGCCACCACTGGGCCAGGCTGCTGCTGCTCCAACCTCACTTCAGCACAGGCCCTGTGGCTGGAAGTGCCATTCCTGGGCTGGCTCACTTTGCCAGACCACTGAACTATACCACTCATACCTCTGTCTTCTCTTCCAGCCTGAATTTTTGTAACTCTCCCCCTACCTGGCACTGACAGGTGCTCAGGTGATCCCTGTGGGGAATCAATCTTTTGGGCCTCTTATCTGGTACATCCACCTACTTCTCTATTCAGGGCTCAGTGCTTGCATGCTTAGCCCTCCAGCTTTCTTTTAGTCTCCATTTTGTGTAGCCTGGGAGAATAGGGTCAGATAGAGTCAAGTTAAATTTTTTTTTATATGTTTTTATTTACTTTTGAGAAAGAGACAGAGTATGAACAGGGGAGGGTCAGAGAGAGAGAGAGAGAGAGAGAGAGAGAGTGAGCGAGAGGGAGAATCTCAAGCAGGCTCCAGGCTCTGAGGTGTCAGCACAGAGCCTGATGTGTGGCTCAAACTCATGAACCACAGATCAAGACCTGAGCCGGTCAGATGCTTAACTGACTGAGCCACCCAGGTGCCTCAAGTCAAGTTTAAATCCTAGCTCCCCAACTGCCAGCTGGTGATAAAACTCAGTCCAAATGCTTGGCGACACAACTGAATTGATGTCATTGTTGTCACTGAGCAATAGGAAGGAGACCTTGCTGTGTGCTAAGCTCTTTACCTTCACTGTCACACTTAGTCCTCAAACAATCCTGGGAAGTGGATGGCACTGTTGTAAGACCCACTTCACATCTGTGGAACAGAAACTTGTAGAAGCCCCAGTCCCAGCCGACTCTTTGTCAACCACAGGGCCCTGCACCTAGCTCTGTTGGGTACTAATGCTGGCTCTTCCAAGGTGACACAACAATGATACAAGGATGACAATGACAGCCACTGAATGACCACTGGACAATAGTCACACTCAGCAGGAACCACCTCCCAAATGCCTGCAGAGGCCAGGCCCCCTAAGGTGGGCATTCTCTGCCTCCAGGAAGCACAGGAAGGAGCATAGGGCGTGCAGTGACTAAGGGGTGCCTCTGGGATGGGGACCCAGGGGCACTGAGCTCCAAAGCCAGGGTTCTGGGCATGTCACCCAGAGACCCTGTGTCAACCCTCCACAATCTGCTGGCCTTAGGACTCACAGGTTCTGCACAAACTCCTTGCCTGGAGTCCTCCCCTGGCTCCAAAAAGACCCAGGGGAGCACTTCGCAGGGCTTCCCTTAGCAGGGTGGAGAGTGAGCAGGGGCATGGGGGGCTTACCCAGGAAATCCAAGGTCATCACATGACCACAGACAGATGTCATCTTGAAGCGGACGGGCTGGCCAGCGAAAGTCCCTGTGTACTCGTGCACTGAGCATGTTCCGTTCAGCCCTTTGCGTGAGGACATGTTTCCTACAGGGCAGAAGTGCAGTGACGGCTGCTCCAGCAAGCCACAACTGCTGTGGAGGCCCCAGGCCCTGGTGTTGCCTCTCGGAGGGCCAGAGTACCCCTTCCCCAGACTGGTCAGTGATGATGTTCTCTGGGCCACTGCAGGTAACGGAGTGCTGAGAGGTCATGGATCTCACGGAAAACACCGCTGCTGACCAACCAGTATGGTGTGCTCTCAATGCAGAGCCCTGTGTCTCTGAAGGCCAGGAGCACCCTCTCTGAACACTCTTAAGAGCAGACACTCTTGGGCCCTTTCTCTGCATTTCAGCCTCATTTCTTTCAAACTTTACTCAAAGGTATCCAGGGACTCATTATCAAATTCCACGATATTCTCATGCTCCCCTCGGACATGTCTCAGCTCTCCCCTCCCTTCTGGAGGGATGCTAGCCCACTGTCCTAGCCAAGGGGAGGTCATGGTGGACATCTGCAATTTCTGGGTACCCAGCATGCAAACACCCTTCCTTTCTGGAGGGAATTCAGAGATGGGAGGGGAAGTAGCACCCCACCAACTATCCCAGTGGCCAGAGTTAGGGTAAGGAACATATGTTCCCTTTCTTAGTGTCCTGGTGTCTCAGGAGGACCGCAGCCAAGGGTCAGCCTAGTGGCTACTCTTGAGTGACATAAGCACACAGGCTGCAGCTGTAGCAGTCATGGGTTGAGGGTCCAGTGGCAAGGGTCCTGTGGTGACGATGTCCACGGCATGGCCTCAGACTTAGACTGGGGTCTCAGACTGGGGTCAAATTTAGACTAGGGTGGGGTCTTGGCTCTGTCTTCTTCCTTCCGATGAATTCTCTTTCTGGGTAAGTTACCAGGGCTGGTTGCTGTTTATGACCAACAACATGAGAGGCACAGTACTTTGACAGCAGCCTGCCTGGTGTTATGCTGTGAAGTGTGCCTGTACCTTTTTGGAGTCCCAGCCCTGGCTCATACCAGGTGCGGCAGTAAATGCATCCCCCAGTGACTGATACCAAGGTGCCTCGTTAGCACTTGCTATCTTGAACCAAGTCAACTCCAGAGAGCTGGAAAAAGAAAGAAATGACCACGCTCATAGATTCCAACCCCCCCCACCGCGTTGGTCTTCCCTACCTCGAGAGAGGATTTTAGCAATAGACTGGGCCAAGGATGGCTTTTCTGCAACCATGAGCACGGTCCTCATCTTGTCTTAAAGCTGCCAAGGGCTTTGGCCCTTCCCACTCCAGTTTCAGAGAGATGGCAATGAAGTTCAGAAATTGCTCTGCTCTTCTTTTTGGCTCAACACTGCTGTCAGCGCTGACTCCTGAAGAGAAGAAAAGACACGTAGAAAATAATAATGCTTCTAATGGAATCTATACCCCTTAGAAGGAAATTCACTTTAAAAAACAAAAAACAGGGGTGCCTGGGTGGCTCAGTCGGTCAAGTGCCTGACTCTTGGTCTCAGCTCAGGTCTTGATCTCAGGGTCATAAGTCAAGGTCGTTGGGCTCTGCACTGGGCACAAAACCTACTTAAAAACAACAACAACAACAACAACCAAAACACAGGGGTGCCTGGCTGGCTTAGTTGGTAGAGCATGTGACTCTTGATCTCGAGGTCATGAGTTCGAGCCCCCTGTTGGGCATAGTTTAATTAAAAAACAAATAAATAAGCAAAAAGAAACCTGAGGTAAGAAAAAGAAGTTAGGGAAACTTGAAGACACTGAACAAATCAGGGCAATGGAATTGGCTCGGAGATGACCTTGGGGATTTAGGTTCCTTTGGGAGACAGTGACATGGCTCCATGACCTCAGGTCTGTCTTGTCCCCAGATCCATGCTACGAAGGCTTCGGGGCCTTTGGACCTGGGCTGATGGGCTGGAATAGGGCAGATGGCCCTCCTCCCAGGCCATGGTTCTGTTTACTCCTCAGGGCTGAGGGCAGCACCTCCACCTCAGCTGAGCATCAGGATGCCCTGGGACATTTTATAAAATGCAGATGCCCAGGCCACATTCTTCAGGTCTTTCTGATCCACAGCTGGGTGCTGGGCCTGAGATCCACTGGCCAGGGAATCCAGTCCCCAGAACTTAATAGCCCCTTGCAATGGGCTCCAATCTACCTTCCTGCCTGCCCCACACAACCTCTAGCATTGCAGACCGTGCTTTTGGCCAATTAAATTGGACACCACTGTCTAAAGAAAAACATATTCTTAAGCCTCTGTTCCCTTGCTTGGAATGTACTACCAAGGCTGGAGAATGCAGCCTGGCCGTGTAACGGCTGGGCTCTAGTGCTAACTCTAAAGAGCTCTTCTAACACCCATAACAGTATGAGTCATTTCCTGCTGTCCCCAGTCCATTACAATGGACTGTGCACTGTGCCACAGTTAGTTACTGCCTCATCTCCCTGCCAGCACAGGAGCAGCCTGAGGTCTAGATCACTGCTGGCAACTTTAATAGCTAGTTCCATGACTGATACAGGACATCTAATACCTGCTGGCTAAATAAAAGAAACATGGGCCCTTTCTGTCTTTTTTTTAAGCTTATTTACTTATTTTGAGAGAGAGAGAGAGAGAGCACATGCGCGCACAGGGGAGGGGCAGGGAGGGAGAGAATCCCAAGCAGGCTCCATCCTGTCAGCTCAGAGCCCAACGTGGGGCTCGAACTTACCAACTGTGAGATCATGACCTGAACCAAAATCAAGAGTCGAATGCTTAACTGACTGAGCCACCCAGGTGCCCCTGTCTTTTTGATCGTTATAGATATGGCCTTGACATTGACAAGTATGGCACTGTATTAAAAAAAACAAAACACCAAAACGTGTCTTCTACTGAGACAACTGAGCCACCTTCTGGGAGGAAAATTAAAGCTAGACTTCTACTTTATAATTTCCACCAAAACATAGTCTAGATCTAGCAGAAATTTAAGCAAAAAGATGAAACTAGAAAAATACTAGAAGAAAACAACTTTGGTATGAAAGATACCTAAGGATTTCAGAAGCTCAGAAGCACACCTCTTCACGTTTAATATCATTTGAGGGGAGCCTGGGTGGCGCAGTCGGTTAAGCGTCCGACTTCAGCCAGGTCACCATCTCGCGGTCCGTGAGTTCGAGCCCCGCGTCGGGCTCTGGGCTGACGGCTCGGAGCCTGGAGCCTGTTTCCGATTCTGTGTCTCCCTCTCTCTCTGCCCCTCCCCCGTTCATGCTCTGTCTCTCTCTGTCCCAAAAATAAATAAACGTTGAAAAAAAAAATTTATAAAATCATTTGATTTCCTTTCCTGTGAATGGTCTATTCATATTTTTTATCCTTTTTCACCCTAGCTGGATTGCTGTTTTCTTATTTTTAGGAACTGTTAATATAATGAGGAAGTTAGCTCTTTGTAGTAGGAGGGCCAGCAACACCCTACACGGCAAATTAGAGGTAAAATGTTTACTGTTTACTCTAACAGTAAGTAGTAGACACTAAGCAAATACTGATTGAATAAATGGCTGCATGTATGAAACAATAATTTTACCTGCAAAGTGAATAATAAAAATACTTTTAGATGTCTAAATTTTAGAAATTTATTTTTTAATTTTAGTTTTATTGTTTTTTTGAAAAATTTTCAATGTTTATTTTTGAGAGAGAGAGAGACAGAATGCAAGCAGGGGAGGGGCAGAGAGAGAGGGGGACACAGAATCCAAAGCAGGCCCCAGGCTCTGAGCTGTCAGCACAGAGCCTGACCCGGGGCCTGAACTCACGAATTGCAAGATCATAACCAGAGCTGAAGTTGGAGGCTTAACCACCTGAGCCACCCAGGCACCCCTTAGATGTCTAAGTTTTAAAAACGGACTTTAAATCTGTATGAGTATTACAAGCACTTCTCACTGTTCTTTTTTCCTATGGTGTCAGTTTCTAGAAGTTTCATATTTCTACTATTCCTCTTCACACCTAAGGATCCTAAATACCTTTTCAGTAAATAATTAACAGATTCTTCTCTAAAGATCCCTTTAGAGAGAGGGCACCTGGGTGGCTCAGTTGGGTAAGCATCTGAGTCTTGATCTCTGCTCACATGATCTCATGGTTCGTGAGATCTCACTGTCAGCACAGAGCCTGCTTGGGATTCTCTCTGTCTTTGCCTCTCCCCTGCTCATGCTCTCTCTCTCAAAATAAATAAATAAATAAAAACTTAAAAAAAAAAAAAAAAGATCACTTTAGAGAAAAATGTTTTACCCTAGCATCTGCAAAGGGATTACCTCATTCATCCATGGCTAGACAACTGGATGGTGCCCACAAAGGGCCGTCAGCATCTGTTCTGATTTCTGGTCACCCGTCCACAGGACAGACTAGTTGTTACTCCCCACTAATACGTGTTGGTCTTTGGTAGTAGTGGCTCTAAAGAAACACACGTTCTAGTTCAACAGTTTATATTTCAGTTCTGCATGAGTACTTTGTGGAAAAAATATGACTTCCTTTAAGGATTCAGAATCATAGAATCCTGGGAAAGGGACCTTGGTGATGATCTGGTACAACCGTCTCAAGGAAGAACAAACTAAGACTCAGAGAAAGGGATTTTCCAAAGGTTACCTGGGAAATTTGAATTGGGGCTGAAACTCATGCTTCCTTACTTCCAGCCGGGTACCTTTTTTTTTTTTTTTTTTTTAAAAATTTTTTTTTCAACGTTTTTTTTTTTTTGGGGAAGGAGGGGGCAGAAGCATGAACTGGGGGGGGGGCGGGG